TCACATTTACAGATGAAGACAAGGAATTCAAGGCTGGAAGGACTAGATGTATGGTGGTACTGTCTTAACCCAGTCTGATCAAATTTTACTAATATGCAGGTGTACTAGTGCCTTGAAGTACCTCTGCAGTTTCAGTGGTTCTCTTGGAGACAGTGGAGACTGTCATTGAGGAATTAATAGCTAGCTCAGTTTTCTCAGTTTTGTACTTGGGACTGTTGGGAACAAGCACGAGGAAAAGAGCAGGCAGGTTCGATAAGTGTGAAATTGGAGATGAGCATAGGAGTCACTCTGGGAAGAAAAAATACAGCAACCCCAGTGCAGCACGTGCAGAAAAATTGGAATGGAGAAAGTAGATGTGAAGAAGGATTGTTCTTGTCATGATGTATCTCTCAACTGATGCTTCAGTTTGCCCCAATGAGGCTGCTGCAATAAGAGAGTAGAAATTTTTGTTCCCTTAATAGGTCACAGATGACTAGATGGGACTGTGTGGCTTGCTCAGAGTCTTACAAATATTAGGGTAATTTTAGTGCACTCTAAAATATTCTAGATCAATTGGTGGAACAGTTTTTCAGTATGTAACTACAGCATCAAAATGAATATTTTCTTTAAGAATTAATTTTAGTTATATGTTTGGGTTTATTACTTGGTGAAATATCTAATGCATGGTAGAAAAACTCCTTAAAATAAAAGCAGAGCTGTAGTTGATGTGTCGTCGTAAGGATCATCTTTCTTACAAAGACCTAGTAGATGATGGCTTTAGCTCTTGGTTACTGACATCAGCTTCCTGGCAAGGGACTGAAAAAGCGGTTTTGAAAGAGCTAAACCCTGACAATCCCTGACTGAGGCCTCACTGTGACACATAAAAGCTTTACTCCCGTATTTTTTTTGTTTAGTTTTGCTTGCGTCTTTGTTTTCCTGAGTTTTCCTTCCCCCACAAGGATGGTTTTAGCTATTTGCTGAGCAAAGTTGATAAATAGATAACATCTTGCCTGACATCAAGGAGACAAAGCTCCAGATACCAAGGAGCCATTAAGGAGACATCAAGGGGGCAAAGCTATCTACACATGCCAGATGTTAAGGAGATGCCCAGCAAATATCTACAGGACTGCTTGTTACAAGAGGTTGCATCAGAAAAGGGGCCCTGGCTTGTGCTGGAGAAGGAGGATTCAACTAGCGTGAGGAAGACTATGAGCGACCACCGGAGGGTGAAAAGACCCTAACCCTAAATTGACTGCGCATGCTTGGACTGTCTGAATGAATTGCAGGAACTCATCACTGCAAGACTGCCTTTCTCAGGAAATCTGATGAATATGTATGATTTTTGTGTAGATGAACTGATGTGTTTTGCTAGCCCGTTGGAGCACTCATGGTGGAAGATCCCCAGCGCTGCAATAAAGAATGTCTGCTTAAAAACACTCTGTTACTGAGTTTTCATCTCTGACTCCTTACCCAGCCACACCTAGCCTGCCACCTTGGTGAGGAGTGTTAGAAAGCAAGGGGGTTTGGAAGCTCCGAATTTTTATCAGTTTCCACTGCTAAACACTGCTTCAGAACTGAGGCATGAATGGAAGAATTCGGAAGAATTCCAGAGGCATGTTTTAGAGGAAGTGATCTTAAGTGAAAGACTTAAATATACACTCATTAAATATCTTTGCTTTTTGCGTATTAAAGATCGGGAGTTTTGAGAGAACGTATGTGAAAGTATGTATGATTTAGCTGATTTTTGTGATGTCCTAGTAGCAGAATGTAAAAAGAAAAAAAAAAAACGACAAACAAATAAACTTTTTCAAAGTAATTGATTAGCGTTTCTTTGGGGACAGACTCCTTGGTAATTTTTTCCATTAATTTTTTGTAAATGCTACTGATGTGTATGAACTATATGTATTTTTATGTATCTTCGGCCTCTTCAGTCTGTTCTCCAGGCTTGATGTGTTGATCGACTTTTCTGCTTGAGAGTATGGACTGTAGCTGAGACGATAATGACTCAAGCGAAGAGAATGTAAAATTAAATTTCAGGCTTTTTCATCTCAAAACAGATTCCTGAATTATTTGATTCTTGGTTGTAATGTGCATGTGCACACATGTGTTCTGTTCCTTCCCTGGGAAGACAAAATTAGATTTAGTCCTGGTATGAATTGTGTCTCTTTAAAATCCCAGACTTCTTTAGGATGGGAAAACCATTCACTTTCCAGATACACATACTGGAACTTCTTCCTAACGATTCTGTAAAGCATTGTTTAGTAAGCCAAGATAGTCATATTTTAAATATACTTATTTTAAATGTTGCTTGGGCTTTCTTAATTCAAGTAAATATGCGCTCGGATATGGAACAGCAGTGGTGAGGCTGCAAAATAGTGTATTTTCAGCAAGAAGGTCTGAAAAGTTTTTGAGTTTAATTTGCTGGTTTTCATGCCTAAGTATTATGGTAGTCTTTAGTTGCACAATAATATTAAACATACGGGGGAAAATGGAACATAATGTACACTGTCAAACTTGGTCTTTGATTACAGAAAGATTGATTTTGATTGGGCCTCTTATATTATCACAAGCATGAGATTGAAATGGGAATGGCAGTATTTCTTTGTAACATACTGATACTGAAAAAGATTAAACAAGGTTCCATCACTGAGATGGCTAGGACTGATGTTCTTTGGGGGATTTATTTTTGCATTTCATATATTCTGTGAAGAGCTTTTTTTTATTTCTAGGTGAGTATGTAAGCTTCTTTGGCAGACCTCAGCTGGACTCCCAGGAAACTTAGATGCAGTTAGTGAGACGGTACTTGTCCTGTCTCCCTGAGGAATTTCAGCTAGGATTAAACCAATTTCCTCCAAAACTTGGTAGTCATTTCTTTTACTAGAATTTTCTGCTTGCACTGTGCAGTTCTTTTATAAACCGTATGTGCATTTAGACGCCGCCGTTTTAATTTGAAAACAAATGAACAACAGGATATGGTTGCTCACTTTCCTCATCAGGAAGGTTGAAACCTTTTGGTCAGTGCTTTGAAACTATTGTGCCACTTGGGTAAATGATAGCTGATGAAGTTTAATGCAGTCAGGACTAGTGCTAAAGGTTGCTAAAGCCTTCAATTTACTGATGAGTTTAGGAAGCATTTGCTACCTAAGAAATTCGAACCTTAGGGGTTGTGTTCTGCTAGTGGAGCCTCTTTCATTACAGTAACATTGTGTGCCTGTGTCTTCTAAGCGTGTTCTCTTCTAGCATTTTTTTTCTGCCCCTGTCTGGCTTGCTTCTGTTGCTCCAGTTTATCATGTGCTAGCTACCCTTCTATGCTTCAGGGCCTTCTGCATTCCAGTCAGCCTTCTTATCTTGCTTCTCCTGGCCCAGGCAGCCAGTACAGTAAGCATTGATAATAACAGTAGACACTTTGCTGCTTCTGTTTGGTTTTACTGTCTCAGAAGTTTCAAAGAAATTTCTATTCATCTTGTTTCCAGGAAATAATGTACTTGTATTTGTAGGGATCTTTGCGTGTGTGTGAAGTGCAACAACAGAGAGTATGACAGATGCAATCTTCATGAAACTGTGGTACCAAATCCACTGAGCTTCTGTTGGTATTCAGGGAAACCAAGGGGAATGGTTTCCCTACTGGTTTAGAGGACAACAGGTGGAAGACTTATCACTATCTTTCCTGGCATTGCTATTGTGTGGATGCTGGTTGGCTTGAAACAAGTCTTACAAAATCCAGTTTCTTACAGTGGAGTTTGTTCTCTTTGACGGCATAAAATGCCAGTGTGGCTATGGATTGCAGAAGTTCAAGACTAACTTGCAGCAGCAGCTCTTCTTCAGATCTGTAGAAGTTCATTGTAAAAACCTGCATTTCAGATGTGATTTAATTCAAAGTTGTGATGAGAATTGCATTTTCTGTATTTCTTCTGGAAGTCCAAATATTTTAAATTGAAGCAGCGAAATAAAATGACAGTTGCTGAAGCTGTGTGCCATTCCGTTCCGGGTACATTGGTCAAAACTTCTGATACAGTTTGTAAGGTGGACTGTAGCATTTTTAGTGCAGATATGTGAGTAGATTGCTTGCACTGGTTTTAGTAGCTGTGCAGTTACTGCGTTAGGTGGTGAATTACAGGTTAGTTTTCAGCAAGTTTACTTAACTTCATGGGTAGGTTCTGTGGACCATGCTGATGTTCATTTCTACTGAGATGGTGCCTAACTACTACCTAGTTTTCAGACCAGGAATATTTGAAGGAGCAGCTGTAACCTGCCCATGCATCCCCGTTCCTGACCACAGTAGGCTACTATAATGCATCTTGTAGTATTAAAAATTAATATATGTAAACTTAGCTGATTCATGGATTCATATAGGTTTTGAGTTTCTAATGTTATGTTCTTTTCAAGTTCTATGCAAAGCCAAAAAGTAGGTAAAGTCGGGCATCTGAAGCAAACCAGACACTAAAATCTATATTGCAAAGCTTTCATTTGAAACGCACAGTGTAGTTGCAATAGCTTGATGTAAACAAGGCATTGGGGTGGGTGTGTTTGCAGAAGAATAAAGGACAACACTCCTAACCTGCATACAGGAAGGACATTTTCTTAGAAAATGGTTTATAATCGCTCTTTAGTTATTCCCTGTAAGTCACTTGCGTGTGAAACATTGAATGGTGATTGACTTCACTGAAAATTTCACTGCAGACTTTTTCTCCTTTGTTCTATGGGTTGTATAGATAAAGAAGTGGTTGTATTTAGGGCTTACTACTGTTTTTTTCGTGATGCGCATGTTTTCAAAGTGACGCTTATTTCAAGTTAGTGTATATTTTTGCTAGAAATGGTGAGAAGACTTTATTATAGCAAAAATTTTAAACTGGAAGGCTTAAAAAGTATAAACCAGGAGGACAAGGACCTCTTCAATGGTTTTTTTTTGTTGTTGTTGAACACTGAATATTTGCTGTTATATTGTGACTTTTCAAAGTTGCCTACAAGGGTGATTATTTTTTTAATAATGCTTATAGTAATAAATTTATCTTTTCTTGTAGATAAAATACAGAATTTGAATGAAGATAATGAGAACAGTCATTTCATCTATGAGAATGCTGAAGGCAGTAACAAAACCAATGCTGAAACTACAGACGCTTCTGGATACAACATTGAAGCCAAGGACTTGCCTGATTCTTGGGACTCCAATGTCAGAAGAACAGCAGACTCTCCATCAGAAACATCTCAGACGAAGGGGCAATTAAGAACTCACTTGTATGAATGGGAGGATGAAACTGAAGACACCAGAACTGGAGAATATATATTAGATTTTGACAATGAACATCTCTCAGAGATGAAGAGCAAGGATGAGGAGTGTGATAAAGAAGATACTGAAAATCCAAAGGAAGCCATTAGTGAAGAACTTGTGCAAACTATTCCTAGGCCGAGCAACTGTAGGACGTATTGTCGATCCAATAAAGCAAAACCTCAAGGGGCAACAAATTTTGACAAGCTAATGGATGGCACTAGTCAGTCTTTGTCCAAAGCAAATAATGAGTCAAATAATGATGGTCTGAATGCAGCAAGAAAAGTTTCTTTAAGTAGTGGGACCAGTTTTAGAGGGACGGTTGGACGGACTAGAGACTACACTGTTCTACATCCATCTTGCTTGTCAGTTTGTAATGTTACTATCCAGGATACCATGGAACGAATCGATGAATTTACCACAGCAGCCCCCACTGACTTGGGAGAAGCTGGACGCTTAAGAAAAAAAGCAGACATTGCTACTACAAAAACTACAACCCGGTTTCGACCAAGCAATACTAAATCCAAAAAGGATGTCAAATTAGAGTTTTTTGGGTTTGATGATCAAGATGAGGGAGGGGGAGATGAAGGTGCCTCTAGAAGTTGTGGGAGTTCCAATTACAAAATCAAGTACTTTGGGTTTGATGACTTGAGTGAAAGCGAGGATGAAGATGAAGAGTGGCAGGTAGCAGAAAGGAAAGCTAACAAAAAACGAAGTAGAACTGCACCATCTTCTTCGCTACAGTCAACCTCTGATGGCAATGAAAACTGTTCCCAGGATAGCCAGCTCAGTACTAACACAGGTAAGTGGAACTCTTCTGGAATACATACTTAACATTTAAATTTAATTGACCTTTGTATTTTGTTCTTTTTGCAGTATGCCTGGAGTTTGTTGAACAGTACTACTGATTTCGAAATCTGAAAGTTGAATTTGCTTATTTCTGCTGTGGTCCTGTCTGGTGTTTCAGAGCTGTCTTGAGGTGTGCTTTATACCCCTTGATCTCTTGCCAGAGGTAGAGTTTTTTCTTTTTGAACAGAAGATTCTTACCTTTCCAGTGTGTTGAGCACACAGTACCTATGCCTGGAAGGCAGGTATCTTCCCGCAGAAGCTCCACATCAACCCAGCATTATGGAGCTGAGTGAGGAAATTTAAGTAGCTTTTAGAGATGTGAAATATCTTTTCCTTTTTGTGCTTTTGAACACGTTTGTAAACAGTTTGGCTCTTTCTCAAGTTCCGTGTTACCTGAGGATGCACAGCTTGAGGGAAAGGCTATGGGGACCCATGGAATGCCAGTCAGATGACTGGCTTCAGGTGTGCCTCTGCATATTGATAATATTTCTGCTTTTGCTTCCAGTTTTCAGGTATCTCCATCTTCTGCATAGGTGGTACGTGTGTGCGTGTGTATGTACGTGTACACACAAGTACGAGTAAAAAACTATTCACGCAGAAATTGCTGGGCAAGTTCTGGTGTTTGAATGCCTTTGATAATTTAGATTTGCGTGGTGGTCGGTTGGGTTCTGTGTAATGACTTTGATCAATGTTGAGGTGTGTTGGTGAAGAACAAAAGGAATGACTTTGGTGAAAGTTGGTGTGTTTTTTTTTTTTTAACTTTTTCTATTTGAAAAAGTCTAATGCCAGAGTTGGGCGTGTTGGAATAAGTGCTTTGAAACACTACTACTGTTTGAGAGAACTGTTTGATCCCCCGTTTTGGAGCATGAAGGATAAGAAGTTTTTGTCCGCTCACTGAAGTTGTTACACTTTTAAGACTTTGGCAAGATGTATTTCATTGTGATGGGAAGAGGGGAGGACTCAAGTCTAGCCTTGCAAATGTTGGAGAAGCTGGTTTTTTCCTACAAATAGCTTGTGCTATAAGATGATCCAGAATCAAATTTCATAGGAAACAATGTTCATTTCTCTGTTCTAATTATAGCAGTCTCTAAAACCAGAATTGTCTGTAAGCCTTTTCATCAAAGGTAAATGTGACCGCTAGGGGTTCTTTTGTAAATTCTAAAAGGGCCAAATTGATACTGATGTTATATGAGAAGATTGTGTTTTCAAACAAAAAAACCCCTAAATTCGTTTTCGTTAGATTTAATTATGATAGGATACTTGCATTGCAGCCTGTTTGGAAAATTGGTGTAACTTACAGGGACACTTATTAAATACTCCATCTGAGTCCCTTTCTCTGACAAGTTGTTGTTCAGCCGTTTATTCCAAGGAAGAAAATTGCTTATACAGTTAATGCAGCTGAGATGCTGGCCCATCAGCTAATCGTTTCAGCTGCTGTCCTCTGGAGTCTCAAAATACCTACAGTTTGTATTCAGCACTACATTTACCAAGGAGGCCATTATACTCCAAGGTATCACAGATTATTTATCTGAGGTATTTTCCTAAGAGATTCCCATGGCGCACACAGATGTAAATTTATATTTTGTTAGTTTCTTAATACACGTCTCCACTTCTCAGTGCCTCCTCTGAGAGATGCTTCCCCTTTATTTTACATCTCCTTTGCTCATTTGCTTCCTGTTTTGTGCTGCTGAAGCCAGGTGAGATTTGACTTGTGTTTTTTCTTCTGAAAATTGAAAGAGTGACATGAAGTTGTTTCCCTAAGTTGCAGCACATTTCCTAGTTCAATCCTGTAGTGCAGATTATGAAATTAGGGGGTCCGGTGTATTTCATGCTGTCGTCTCTCAGGGCTTTGAAAATTTTGAGCATCATGATCACTCAGAACAGCCATATTAAGATCCTTAAATATAGTGATGCTGAGTCCGACAATTTATCAAGGTCTTCTGGACCTAAGCTTGAAGTTGCAGTAAAATAAGTGACATTGCTGTGAGGTGTTGTCTTTACATACTGAAAAAAAGTGACTTCTGCATCCATGGAAAATGCCAGTTTTGAGTCCAAGCCTCAGAAAAAGCTTTCAGAACATCTTGCACAATAGAACTTTTTCCTGGAGTTATGAACAGTGCTGAGAGGTGCTAATGCTACCTGGGTTCTGTGTGTGGTATTCTTTCTGTACTAATGAATGAATCCACAGGTAAAAATCTAGTGTTCCCGTTCCAGGTTGACAGGTGAGATGCAAGATTGCCTCTTGGAATTCTGGTCCCAGAAATTCTGAAGACTGATTTTTGACATTCTGTGAATAGTGTTATTTGACACAGTCAGTTTTTTCAAGAGATTTGATTTCTGTTACAGACTTCCACAGTTTTTTGCCATACTACTGATTCGGTTGCTTACCATAATCTGGGCCTATTTTTCTGAAACATTGCAGAATGTTAGTCTAAAACATCAGACAAAGACTTTCTAACTGAACTGGAAATGGACTATTCCTTCCAGTCTAGTAGCTCACAGTTGAGAGAAAGTAAGCTTAATAATACATATTTACATGTTTCTGCAAATGAAATTAAGGAAGCACTGAAGACTACATGGATAATATTGTTAGTGAAGGAAAACCTGCAAAGTAGATAAGTTCAGTTTTAGTTAGACTGTCTTTCACTGAAGTGTCTTTTCTGTTGTTCGCTTTTACAATACGCTTGCCTGCTGAAAGGGTTAAAAAACACCAAAAACCCCAAATAAAAGCTCAAAAAAACCCTGATGGTCTGGCGTTTAAATTCCTAGAGGCTGTTCACAGACTTCTTTTTAATGAAAGTCCTTTGTAACTTCAAGAGCCTGGGATTTTTGGTGAAGCTTTGAGTTCTAGTTAAAGTTGAAATGGTTTTTACCACTGCAATCTGAATTAGACAGTGTAGTAGCCCAGTGAAGGAAGCAAAAGCCCTTTCACTCCTGAGCCTCCCAGCTGCAGTCTGCCAGAATGCCGGGGGCTAAAATTACTGCTGAGACTTTATTAGGTCCAAAACAGTATCTGTATCATTTCACTGAATACAGAATGACTATAGTAAAGAGAAGCTTTTAATACTGGAGGAAAATTATTTAATTACTTGACTGTATTAATCATTGGGGAGTTGTATCCAAGAGAAATCTGAACTAATGACAAAGAAGAGTAAGGCTTAACCAAAAATAACTTTAAGCTTCAATTTTGAAGAGCAAACCTGTATCTTTGGTGGGACTGTGTTATACTTCTGGGAATAACTGCACTATCAGTTTGTTCCTGTCTTTTTCTAAAGATCCTGCTGTGGTTGTCAGTGGTTTGGGTGATGACTAAGATTTCTAATAGATTTAACTTCTGAGCTTCTAGTCTCAGAATGCTTTATTGCCCACCTGCTCACTTGACACCTAGGACTATGTTAATTCTCGTTTTGCTGCATTTCGTTTTTGCCAATGACAATAAAATTATTATAGAAATTGACGAGGGGAAAAAAAAAAA